TAAGGATAAGTTACTATTAAAACACGGCTTCTCTGTAGTTAAACACTACTACTCTGTAGCTGAACACGGCTGCTACCCTGTAGCTGAACACGGCTGCTACCCTGTAGCTGAACACGGCGGCTACTCTGTAGCCGAACACGGCGGCTACCCTGTAGCTGAACACGGCTGCTACCCTGTAGCTGAACACGGCTGCTACCCTGTAGCTGAACACGGCGGCTACCCTGTAGCTGAACACGGCGGCTACTCTGTAGCCGAACACGGCGGCTACCCTGTAGCTGAACACGGCGGCTACTCTGTAGCCGAACACGGCGACTACTCTGTAGCTGAACACGGTGGCTACTCTGTAGATGAACATGACGGCTACTCTGTAACCGAACACGGCGGCTACTCTGTAGCCGAACACGGCGGCTGGCGGCTACTCTGTAGCTAAACACGGCGGCTACTCTGTAGCTGAACACGGCGGCTACTCTGTAGCTGAACACGGCGGCTACTCTGTAGATGAACACGGCGGCTACTCTGTAACCGAACACGGCGGCTACTCTGTAGCCGAACACGGCGGCTGGCGGCTACTCTGTAGCTGAACACGGCGGCTACTCTGTAGCTGAACACGGCGGCTAATCTGTAGCTGAACACGGCGGCTACTCTGTAGCTGAACACGGTGGCTACTCTGTAGCTGAACAAAACAGCTATTCTGTAGTTAAATACAATGGTTACTCTGTAGCAAACGACATTCTTATGTTGTGACTAGAGAGTGTAATGAAGGGATGTACATGGCGAGGACGGGGCATGTGTGAGCTGAGGAGAGGCCATGTGTAGAGAGGAAGGGTCAGTATGTGACATGAGAGCCATGTGTGTCGAGGAAGCTGCCATAAATAACGGAAGGACGTGACATATGTGAAGGGGAAGGAGCAGTATGTGGTGGGAGTCATATATGGCAGGGAAGGGGTCATAAGTATGTGACGGTGAAGGGGCTAAATGTGACAGGAGGAAAGGGCACATGTGGCGGGTATTGTTGTTTGTGGTGAAGTAGCAGGTTGGTTGGCAGCAAGCACCCAGGGAGGTACAGCATTACCGCCCTGCGACGCCAGAGTGAAACTCAAACCTCTTCGAGGTTTGACGCTATGTCACGCTTGCTGGTTAACTGTGTCCGAGGGCAGATAAATCCTACAAATTTCTATTTACATTCAATACATGCTAATTTTTATATTCTTGTATTTTTCTTAACAGTTCTTCTTACTGTAAAGTTTACTTTTTAATTTAAGAGGAATAGTGTGAAACCTGGCCGCGGAGTCTGTGATCCCTGAAATTAACAATAATTGTATAATCTTTTTTTCTCTCTCGGATTATGTGAGACGTTTCCCTCTCAGGTGGCAGTCTTCTTCTAGCCTGCCTCTTGATCGCATCTCCATAGCCTTGCATTTAGTTCGGCTGATTTCTAGTAACCGCTTTCTGAATCTTACTCAATTCTAGTGGCATGTTTTAGTCAACTTCTGCCATTCTCATCAGTTTGGAATCAATTCTTAAACATGAAAAATAAAGAGACTATTTCACTGGAAAGTTATTTACATATATTAGGAACTACATATATAGGTCAAAGATGTGGTCTTTGTTATATGCTTGTTACGTCTTTTCACCATCTAACTCTGATACTAATTCGTCTGGCTGTTCCAGACTGTTCTACTTTGTATAGTTTTCTCTAACGGACCATGTCACAGGCTTTTTGACTGTAGTTACCACTTCCTTCTCATATTACATAAATCTAAATCACAAAGCAAATATAACCATTCCAAGTCAATTTCCTACATTGCGCAATCTATGTTCATGATTCGTGTCGTGTCATCGGCCTTGTCAACAAATTTAGATGGAAGGAGAAATTTCCCCACTATTTATGCACAAAGAGATGCTTGGTTCTCAGCCTAGCAAACGCCGTATTGGGTGTGGCACCCTACTGATGGGACAGGTCAAGTGTAATTGTCAAACAGGTGTTGGGTTTTGCAACAGCCAGGACAAGCGTAGGTTAGGTCAAAGATGGGCAAAGCCACGATTGAGCCAGGTCAAGAACTGAACAGCTTAGGTCTGGCATAAATACAATACCCTTACTGAAATTATCTGAAGAGTTAAAAATAAATACAAAAGACGTCCAGGAACACAGTGAAGGGGTCTATGTGGCGCTAATGAGCTTCTTGTTCCACCAATGACGAGTTATAAGAAACTCCGAAGAGCGTCACAGTGCCAACAGCAGAGACCGCTAATAAAGGCAGCAAGAGAGACATACACTAGACAAGCTTTCTTAATACAAGGGCCTCAGCTGTAGAAGCAAACGGCCGCCGAGACAAGCAAACAACGAATGCTAATGGTGATTGTGTGTTTATCTGATTGTCAACACGAATACTAAATAGCCTTGGGAAGTGTCCCATCTATATTTTGTCCAGGAAGGCAATCTAAACACAGAGTAGCATATATATCCTATCCTCTACACGCATCTTAAGTGAATATCACTAAGTTTAGTGCCTGTTTGAGTATCTTATATGGCAACGTTTACCCCCAATTCTCAAGGTTCCTGCAGCATCACTATGTGAATAGTCATTATTGCAATAACTATGCACTAATGGCTGGTCAATGGTTTAAAGCCTATCGAATACACTAAGATCATTAAGGCTGCAAGTAATCTTTGCCACTACTTGTGTATCTTCAATCTCAAAAAAAGGGGAATTAAGGTAAACTCCTAACATATATATGCTGAAAGAAATACACCTTTTACCATGATCCTGCACAGCTATGTATTCATTCTTCCTGACGAACCCGGATTATTTATTTTTTTTTTTTTGGGGCCAACTTGCTAAAAATTAACTTGCTTAAATTTAGGATTTCTCTCCTACAATTCTGCTTGTCAACCAAATTACGAATATTTTTGCAGTTTTTAAACAAATTTTTAAACATTTCGTATTTTCTTTTCAAAAATATAATATTGAAAAACACATCTCTAGACGAAAATTAGATAAAATTGTTATCCTGGACACTAACAAGGCACAGATACAACTATGTACTTCAAATGTGCTATTCTCCAGGTATGCCCAATGTCTTAGAGCACTCACTTTGTAGGTCCTGATCATATCTCCTCTAATTATTTCTGCAACGCAGAGGTGAGAATAAACTTTAGCAGTAGTCAATGATCTTCGGATGGCCTTGAACATGTTTTTAAGCAAACAAATTTACGAGACAAATTTATTTTGTAAAATAAATTAAAGAAAAAATATACATTTTATAAAAATTACTTTCAAAATTCATCAAGAGAAATTAAAGAGCCCAGAAACACGCACAATATAGTTTTAAGAAATTTAGAACAACTTCGAAAACACTTTACGTTTTATTTGGCAGGTTTAAACGAATGTGTAAATAATTTACAGGCTGTCAAATGAGTTTTTTAAATGTAATATGAAATACTATGATGTTTGGTGGATTTATCGCCCAAGGAAACAAGTCACAAAGGTCCTCTGTTATACATTAATAAATCTACGATAGCAGTGGTTTATCAAAAAATCAGCGTTAGTGATACGATTCTAACAACTGCGCCTTATACCGTCAGCACACATTAATGACAAAGCTTGGTTTTATATGATGACAATTGCACCTGGTACCGTCAGCACACATTAATTAATGATGACCACGCTCGGAGTGGATCTTGGAGTGAGCATTATACCGAGCATGTCCCCTGAGGCGCATATCAACCAAATATCAACCAAATACAGTAAGGAGTCATTCACGACACTGTGTACCGTGTATGTCAGACTCATACTGGAGTATGCAACAACAGTATGGAATCCACACCTGGTCAAACATGTCAAAAAACTGGATAAAGTGCAAAAGTTTGTAACAAGACAATTCCCAGAGCTAAGGGGTATGTCTTATGAGGAGAGGTTAAGGGAACTCAACCTGATGACTCTAGACTAGAGGATAGGAGGGATAAGAGGGACATGATAACGACGTAAAAATACTGAGAGGAATTGACAAGGTGGACAGGGCTAGAATGTTTCAGATATGGGACAACTAGAAGACCAAAACTCATTCGAATCAGAGGGATGTTAGGAAGTATTTCTTTAGCCTTAGAGATTTCAGGAACTGGAACAATATGGAGAGTGAGGTAGAAGCAGGAACCTTACATAGCTTTAAGATGAGATACAATAAAGCTCTTCGAGCAGGGAGTGACCTATTAACTACTAGCGAAGAGGCGGGGCCAGGAACTCGACCCCTACAACCACATATAGGTAAGGACACACACAACAGCCTCTCCTTTTTTAAGAGACTTAGGATTATTACCACACATTAGCCGAGTGAATCAAAGTAGGACAGGAAAGAAAAATATAGCTATGTATCTCTTGAGATAAACGGCGGCGGCCAAGCTAAACAATCAATTCCCACACAGAATGTATTATGTTAAAATTTAAAAGAAAAAAACTACGACTAAAAGGTCAAATTTCTGTACCAACACCAGAGAGATGTGCAAGTGTTATTTTACGCCAAGCTCCATCACGGAATTTCACACAATTAATGCTGTCAATGGCCACTTATTAGAAGGCCGATTTGTTCATTAAGTTTACACCATGCATTTATAAGGCAAAACTTGCGAACTTTTTCTACTTGGAAAGGATATTACTGCCAAACCAAGCTGCTCCTGTAATATTTTTTTTTTCTTATTCGCCGGTACTCTCCCGGCCCGGGTCTTTTCCAAGTAGTGGTGACCCGGCCTTGGCTCCCTATCTGGGGAGTATCTCGAGACCTAAGTCTCCCATGAGAGGAGGTACAAGTACCCCCTCATCTTTGGGACCAAGTGTCCCCAGGCCTAGCCACAGTCCCCGCGCTAACTAAAGTTATTCTTATCTTTTGTTATGGAGCACATTTAAAAATAAACAAACCAGATATGTTTATACATAAATTTAACTGCTTAAAAAGCACATTTAATAAAACTCGCAATAAATCGAATACAGACGAAGGGTACTCACTCTGCGAGGGTAGTCTTCATCAGCTCTCCGCCAAGACTAGTTCATCTTCGCTAGGCTCTGCTGGGGTAAAAATAAAAAATTAAGCAAACCGAGCATGCATGCACGAAAAAGAGAGGATGTAAAATATGAAATGATACGATACATATATATATATATATATATATATATATATATATATATATATATATATATAATATATATATATATATATATGTCATGCCGAATATGTAAAAGTGGTCAATTAGCAAGAACTCATTTAAAATTAAGTCCTTTCTAAAATTTTCTTTTATACGTTTAAATATATATTTTTTTCGTCAAAGTTAATGTAAAAAATTTTAATTTTGCTCCAAAAGAATCTTAGAAAACTTACCTAACCTTATTATAACAAGAACAATTTATTTTAGCCTAACGCAACTAAATATATTTTAGATTTGTTTACAGTAATTTAATACTAAACAAACACAGTGAAATATATTTTTTTTCTTTAGGTTCAGAATGATTTTGGCGAAATTATTGCATACACAAATTTTCACTTGTCCTATATGGCAAGATGAGCATTGCTATTTAAGCCAAGATCGCAAGTTCTGCCTATTCGGCACGACATTATATATATTATATATATATATATATATATATATATATATATATATATATATAAATTATAAATATATATATATATATATATATATATATAATATATATATATATATATATATATATATATATATACAGGGAAACTATTGATGACAGAGTGGTAGTGACCAAATAAACTACTTTCAAATTCAAATTAATTTCCAAGGGATTTTAAGGTACCCGTTGGAAGAGGCTTTCTGTGCTCACAATTTTTTTAATAAACTGCTGAAGAGGGTTCCTGTATGCTCACAGAGAACCTTCACATAAACTGCTGAAGATGGGTTCCTCTATGCTCAAAACCCTACGCGCACAAATACCTCATAGCAGACCATATTTTCACTGAAACAACAACGAACAAAGATATAGTAATGTGTACGGACCATCGAAACGAGATCAGAAAAATACATTATTTTGTAAAACATATCTGAATCTACATTAGCTATACAATAATTGTGTGAGATTTCAGTGGGGCAAACGTGTATGTCAGAGGAAGCAGCAACTTGGTTAATGACTATGGTGGCAAAAGGCCTTTACTCAACAGAAATTTCGCTCACCAAGACACTTACCATTTATGTTAATGTTTCAGGATGATGAAAAACTAACAAGAATAAGAATATAAGTTGGTAAAACGGTAAAGGTAAGATTTAAGAGGCACGTTAGTTCCCCAGTCTTCTAATAACGTGTTCATTTTTTCCACTATAATCTACCTTGTCCATAATTACTATCGCATTTGCTTTTGTCTGTTTCGTAAGGGAAAGTCCAGGATCTTTCCTTAATTCATGGTATAACTTAAAGCTCAGACCTCGGCAACTGTAAGTAATTATGGACAAGGCAGATTATAGTGGAAAAATGAACATGTTATTAGAAAACGAGGGAACTTAACAAGCTACGGGAATGGTTCAACAAACAGTTACTGACATTTTCTCCAATATATGTAGTTTTTTTTTTTTATAGTCACAAGGAAGATGGAGCACTAAGCCTGTAGGTGTAATACAGCGCCTTGGGGAATAAGAGAGAACTTTTCGATCCAAGGTGTGGGAGGTCAGGTTCAATTCCTTGGGTGAAGAATCCCTCACCGACGCCAAGGGAAGCTGGGAAAACCTGAAATATTATGAGAATCTGGAAGAGGAGGCAGGAGGCCAACCAAGTTGCAGTAATCTTAGACGATAATTATCAGAAAGTTAATACAAATATAAAGCTGGCAAACAAAAAATAGCCTCCAGATTTTGTATATTGTATTATTCAGAGCACTATACTTATTATACTGTATTATTCAGAGCACTATACTTATTATACTGTATTATTCAGAGCACTATATTTATTATACTGTATTATTCAGAGCACTATACTTACTATACAACAAGGCTAGAAAATGCGGTGAAAGCATGCAATCCTCATTTCATGAATCATACAAAGAATACTGAGGAAATTCAGTTTTTTCACATGGTTGGAACCAGAACTGGGAGGATCGAAGAGCACGACGAGACATGATAATTTAAAAAGATACTCATATATACAAAATAGATAGGAACAGATTATTAATAATGAATGAACTGAAACGTGTAGTTCAACAAAGCCAAAAGGGGGACATTTTTTCAACTGTGAAGGTAGTAAGCCTACATAACGCACAAGACATGTTGGTGAAGACTAACTAAACATGCATATAAATTACCTATTACAAATCCTCAAAACGACAGGAAGCCACACCAAATCGACGAGCAAAGTTCAGCCCCTGCAGACACAAGAGAGTATAACTAAGTAAATACATACATATACACATAGAGATATGCACTCACAATGCTCAAGGGAGTGTAGCGAGCGTATATACGGCGAAGGGTTGATGCTTGCATTTTCGTTTATTCCTCGATTAAAAAGAATTCGAGATACATAAAACATATCTATTAGGATTTACAAGAAAGGGGAAGAAAAAAAATAACAGAATCACGTATCACATCTTTACAGCATGAGAGTGCATCTCAGTATGCAAATGCAGCGAATGTCTAATGTTACGGCAAGCATTATTATAATGATTTATGGGGACACCTAATGTCTCGCTCGGTGATAATGTACAGAAAGAGTAATAAAAACTAGAATGTAAATGTGCCACACTGAATGCATTTTACTGGGTTTTTCAGAAAATGTATCAACAGCTAGGAATTTCAGAAGAGAGAAACGAGAACACCAGCACCGCATAACTTTGAACCTATAGAGGAATTTTTGCGAATAATTCGTTTGATTATACAGCCTCTTTGATAATTCAATTGAATTCAGTTTCATGGTAACTATGAGCCGTTCGTATAAAAACATTAAATTACTCTTTAATATAATGGCAGGTGGGATTTCCAGCATTGTACAAAGTACTGTATAATGCCAGGGCGATGACCACTGACAATTTTTTTTAATTCGACAAAATTTGAAACATTAGTGTGACAGATGTTGCAAATGGATGGAATAGGCGACACGTTACTAAATGCAATAAAGACTTTAATGTTTAGGTTATGTAGGAGAGAGAGGAATTATTTTCCAGTACAAGTAGGCCTTTAAGAGAGAGAGATGTAATGTCACCACGGATGTTTAACATATTTATAGATGGAATTATAAATGAAGTGAATGTGGAGGGTGTTGAGAAGAGGTGTAAGATTAAAATATAGCGAACCTGATGCAAAGTGGGAGTTGTCACATTGTTTTTATATCAATGACACAGTTCTTTTGAGAGATTCTGAAGGAAAATGGCAAAGGCTGGTGGAAGAATTTGGGAGTGTAAAAAACGGGAAATTAAAAGAAACATAGGAAAGAGTAAGGGAAGAGAGTAACAAAAAATCTAAGCAATGAAAGGTCGGATATCAGATTAGAGGGAGAATTTGCATACGAACTAAATATGCACAGATATTTGTCGATTGACGGGTCTATGAAAGATGAGGCGAACCACAGAATTGACTAGGAAAAGATAACTTGCTCTACCCACATCTGTTAAAATATACCGCAGTTCTTAGATCATTAATTCGAGGATGAATTAGACACATGTGCAACATCTGTGTATCTTTACCTGTAGACGTTACACCATCCAGTGGCTTTATCAATACATTACATGGACATAATACGAAGACATTAGAAATATATACAGTAGACAGTGGAAGATGATGTTATCAGTTCCTCAGCCTGGCTGCAGGTGATGAGCACCGTACTCTTGAATCTGAAGCACAAGCACGACGTGCAATAGACGAAGGCTATGTCACTGGTAGGCGGGATTCCCCAGTAAAGTAGGTTATGCCAAAGAGTTAGGTGGTGATGTACTCTGTAATTAGATTCCATGATGATGCTCCGTCTGACAAGTTGTATATTACGTCCAAGTAATATACTGATAAAGCCACTGGATGGCGAAACGTCTACAAGTAAAGATATCCAGAAGTTGCATATGCATCTAATTCATCATCTCGTCGGTATTAAATACCACTGATATGTATCATCTTAATTCGATGAACAGAAATATTAAGGTTAAAACTGAATACGAAGAAAACAGCCAACTGCCCTTTTTGTTCTCCCTACAATGCAGAAGTGTTGGAAGTACATCTCTTTTAAAGATATAAAGAAAGCTAATCCATTCTGATAGTTATCTGCACACTTTAAGAGGTTCTATATCAAGCTTATTTCTGAAGACGTAAGGAATATATGATTAACATTTAAAAGATCACGAGACTGAGTATATTTAAAACCTATTTTCTAAGATAGGTTACATTAAGAATTTTATAGTGTTAATTTCTCTGCCGGAGGTAATATTTTATGGACTAAAGAAAAGAATAACTTTAAAATTAGAAATGTAATTGTTCTTCCTTACTTGAACGAATTTGAATCTGTAAAAGAAATTCTCTCAATGATGTCCACATTGCCTTCAGCAGTTCGAATACCGTCAAGACATATGTAAAAAACAAGAAAATCGTCTTCGGAAAACACCCAGTTATTTACAAGATTCATGCTAGGATCGTGGAAGTGTTACAGTGGGGAAACAAATGTTTTTAAATGCCGACTGTATCAGTACAGATGCTGTGTACGCACTGGGAACAATAATCAAGTTTCTCGGCAGTCAATAATAAAAGTCGACAAGTGAGAATAAAGAATCTGGCAGCAGGAGATCCATTTCGTACCTGTAATAAGAGGATCATCTTATTCCTAAGTATATCGACACAAAAGTACAGAAAATCAGTTCATGTTAATGAAGCTGAAGTACTGATGGGATACAAGGCTTGGGAAAAACCCTGAACTTAGATTACAACAGCCTAAATATGGCATTAGAACTGGACAAAACTCTAATGCTCTGCTTATTCACCTGAGAGATTTTAACCATCCAACTGATTTTCAAAAGGCCGAGAATGTTGTATCAAGCAGGTCTACGACTGAGACAAATATAACTGAATGAAGATTCATAAAAAA